CGGGGTGAGCAACGCAGACACCCGGCAGGCCTAAAAGAAGACTGGAGATGGCGGAGACACGACCCTTTACTGAGTTGTAGTGAGTTGCAGCCCCCTGCATGGAAAGTCGTGTCCGAATGATGGGGGTTGGTGATCAAATACTCTTCGGATGGACCTGCAAAAGTGCTAATGGCTGAGTGGATGATTAGCGGAGGTGGGTGAAGGGATCGTGCACAGGAGTGGCAAGGGAGGGACGAGTCTGAACATGCAAAGACCGTGTTAGTCGATTTACTCGCTTCACTGCGCGTCGAAGTGGGATGAGGCACCACTGTAATAAAAGTCAAATAATGTCAAAATATGCGGTTTTGCTAAATTGGTGGCGTTACGAAGGTGCCGTGTGCTTTCTTTGCCTTCAGGCGCTAGATCGTCAACTAATAGTGCTGGATTAGGCAGCACCCGGGGAAAAGCGAGGCAACGCATAATGTTGCGCCCTCCATACAGCCCTCACCCCACCCCTCTCGAGTGATGAATTCCTGAAATCACGCTCACTTTCGTTTTTTTTGCTAGTCGAGACCAGAATTTCTGGCTGGTTAGTATCGAAAGGTAAATCACACCCTTGATTATTTTATGTCTTCTAGTGAGGGTCGAAGCCTCTACCGGCCGGGTAATATTCGCGGAGGTCCAAACCATTGATCAGCTGCTTCAAGCCCATCCAAAATTTCAGTAAGTATTTCTTGTTGGATGTCGCTTCTCGGTTGTTAAATATTGCCACTTTTGCATTGCGCTGTGTACTAGAAGCCTTCCTTATTTGATCAAACTCAATTTTCATAATAAGTAGCCTTCTGTTCAATATTTATTATTATTATTTTTTTTCTCTGTTGATTTGGGACCCACATCTCCCCATTGGCTGCTATACTCTCCGCTCTTGCCCGGTAAGCGGCTTTTTTGCACAAAATATTTGCCTTAGCTGCTTTGCCTGACTAATTTGTCTCGATAAAATTCTGCCTTCTCGCGTACACATGCACACTAGCTACTCCATTTCGCGTCGGAATACCGGTAGTGGTTTTCAACCATTTTAAGACAATGCGAACCCGGCCTAGGGAAGGGTTTGTTTGTTTCATCTATTTCACTCTTTATTTGATTGCACCCCTTATTTCTCAAATCGTGCACAGTCTCGACGCCGGGAAGTACCTCCTTTCCTCGCGTTCGGTCTGCGGCAAGACCACATACCAGCTCTACGAACTGGCTGCGGACACGGCCAATTCACAGTAAGCATGCGCTTTGTCAAATCGCTCTCATTGGTTCCCGCATTGACTTCCTCTACCGGGGTCGTGCTTCCCTGACTCTTACCTAGCCTGTCGCTAGACCTTTTGACCAGTTAGCTGACTTGTGGCGTTGGTTGCTTATCTAATTTGCTCGAAACAAGACCTTTTCCAACCAAATTAGAGAAAGTCGTTTAATCTTGCGTTCAGTACTCCGTTTGTCCTTAGTGCTAAAGACCACCATTAGCGCTGACTCAGTTTTTTGAAATGTCTTGATTGCTCAAAGATGTGTATGTGCATCACAATTCCCTTTTCGAAAGCACATTATCAAATTGCTTATCGTCTAAATATCGATAAGTACCAGTATTTTGTGGTAGTTTAGCCATTTGCGGCAAGAATCTTAGGGGATTTGTTGTTACGACGCCTCGCTAATTGCACCAACGGTCATAGGTCGGTTGCTTTATGCGTACTGTCCCTTCCTTGTCAACCTCCAGTAATCCATAATTTTCGGTTTATAATGTATCTTTGTTGCTGTTGATCTCCCTCTTTGTAGTTAAACTAAAATCCGATTTAGGTGTTGTCTTATTGGCAAATTATTTGCGCCTCTGTTATATTTTCGATTCAACAAGCGATTTCTTTTAAAGGATGCCAATTTAAAGTCAGCTTCATTTTCTAGGTTTTCCGTTTCACAGACAAACGGTGCAATCAATTTGCACGCATTAGTTACGGACGGCTTCGAGGAGGCGTGCCGTTCCTTAATCGCTCCCTCTCTACCGACCGATCAACCAGAACTCGGCGCAAGTTGGCGTCGAGTCAAGCGTTTTCCCCTTGATTTGTCCATTCCCAGTGGAGTAACTAGCTGCGGTCTCCTGATTCCTGGAATTGACGTCCTGAATAGATCCGACAGCGACTCACCCTCCCCCGCTCCTGTCAGTGATTCTGCAGATCATTCCGGCGCAGAAAATGTCCCCAATCCGCCTACTAACAAATCTCCACCACTAAATGACGACACAAAGTCCCCACCCACCGACAAATCGGCTAGGACTTCCACCAATTCTCCACCAGCAACTCGGTCTACAACTAAGAGAGCTCACACTGACGGCGAACAGCCCAGAACACCAAAAAGACGGTCCTCGGACCGAAGTACATCACTGTCGGTGGACAGTCCAAAGTCACCGTACGTCACTAGAAGTGTCCGGGCGAAAATGTCGCTAGAAAACTCCCCGTCGAAGACACCCAATCAAACTCGCAGGAGTCGACGGGCCTGTTTGGACTAGCTTAGAGCTCTCTTTTGCATTCCGCATGGTTGCATTTTTTTATCGCACACTCCTTAAACTACTCTTGAATTTGCTTCCAAGTTTTCCTCAGTGAGGTACCTTAGGTAAGGAATTTATGGTGGCAAATGGGCAATGTCGAGGTGCACAATTTCGCAGTGATGCCTTTCTAAGTCCCCTGTATGTACATCTAGCGAAGCAATAGATAATCACTTTACATAGCAATTGGCGTACGTCTAGGCGGTCTTATATAACAGATGAACATGCCATGCGGATGTTATTCAAGACGAGTTAGTGTTGTAGTGTGCTTAAGCATATAACCCTCCGACTTTTTACATGATGTTGAGAAGTACTTTCTTGGAAGGAACACTGTTGCTTAATCCGTTTGCGTGACTAAATCTCTTAGTTCCCCAACGATAGCATATTCCCCATAGGGAAGGTCTCTAGTCAAGAGCGCACTGTGTCTTGGAGTAGGTGAAGACTCTTTTGTTCCCAGGTCTTACATGAACGATGCTGTTGTGGCGCTTCGCCTGTCTGTCTAGCTTCTCATAACTTCGTCGTCCCTTTAAAATGGTCCAGTGGAGCCGCAGAGTTGTCAAATTAATTTACTTGTGTAAATGTGTTCAACGGAGCGTCTGTGTTCCTGACCAAAAGTTCTGGGATGCTATTGTTTATCTCGCTGATTGCACTTAAACGAAAACGATAGGCGGTCAGACGATTGGAGGGTGCCGTGATATTTCGTGCTTGTTCCACGAATTGCCATCTCGTCCTCCTCAGATTAATGTGACTTTCTCTTCATCTGCGTCTCAACCAACCTTCTTTCTGGAATTCGGGTGAAGTGACGGAGTTTCCATCAAATGTAGTTTTTACACAGTGATTGCTTCAGTTTGACTCCTAGATATCCTCTAGTGTGCGTTAAAAAACGATTTCTGACACCCCATTGGATAAATTCGCTAACCATGATCCTCTGACCAATGGACTGTACTCATCGCGTCCAGTCTTGTAGGTTAGTTATGTCTGTTTGGCCCTTGGGGCACCAATGACGAGGAGTTACAACGGCGATTTCAACCGACGCCGCTAACAATCCATGTTGGGGAAATTGGTTGTCCAGGCGCACATAATCGACAGCTCTTCAAGCACTAACTTGGCTCCGTCTTTACGTTCAGATTGCATTTAGCTGCTATTCCTTCAGAATGAACCAGGACGTGGAAATTTGCACTCTTGCTTCTCCAGTACCAATTTCCGGAGTTAGGTGTTACCGTAGAAGAAAAGTACAAATTTACCACTTCGTGTCGCAGCAGAGATTTGGGGAAACGCTGGGTAAATGCATTAAGGGAGGTTGGAACCGCGTCATTGTAGACACAAAAATCGAAATTTCCTTTTTGTTCATGTCTGAATGATCAAAAATGGCACATATAAGTCTAACTACAGGGTAAATTCAAATGCGGCTAAACGTATTTCAGAGCAATAAGAAAACGCTAATGTGTACTGGACAACTGCCAAATGGAGGACTGTATGCATTTTTTTCTACGTCAACAATCCTTGTTCTGCGGAGATGGTCAATGCACAAACTGTCGTTTCAGCGAATTCCATATTTGAATAAGAGGATTTATAGAAGCGAGCACTTTCGATAAAGTCGTAATCAACAACCAGACAACAAAATCCTAATTTAAAAAAGCACTTTGGTATTTAATAAAGCTAGCTTTGGGTTGTTCAGAGTTTTTTTGTAATTTAAAACCTTGTGAAACCAACAGAACCGCAAAATCTAGAAAAAAATTACAAGATATTAGGGGTATGATCGCTGTTTATTAAGCAAAATTACGGGTACCCAATCATTTATTAAAAAAAAGAACTTTTACGATTAAAAGCCGCCTCAAATACTGCGTAATTGTGGCAATTATGCGAATTTCCCCATTAGAACTAACTGTTTGGAAATATTTGCGACTTGCATAGTCAGCATGTTGGAAATAATTATGGAAAGAGAAAATTCCTGAAATAAGTTACATTTTCAGAAACCAAGAGACTGAAAGCTGTGCTTAGCAACTTAGACACAAGGTCGAATAAGTTATGGGATTGAGGCTGGTCCGATGGGACCAGTAGAGAAGAAATTAGGGGAGTGAGTTAGGTACTTTACTACTATGTGGTCCTATGGTTTGCCGTCTTCTTTATTTATTTTACAATGACCATCATTTATCTTTGATCCAGCGCTAGTCTTATAGTGTTTTGGCTCCATGAGAAATGATACAATAAGTATTACGAGACAGTGTGGTGAAACGGTCACGGGTGTTTCCTCTTCCTGGTTTATTGTTATAGCGCCGCAAATCATTTTGATCTTGCCATGCGGAACATCAAAATGGCTTGTAAGTGTCGCTTTACACCAAAAATAATGCAACGAACACCACCTTTGTTCAGTCATCAGCGAAGAAATCGAAGGTGCAATCGATAGCCCCTATCGATTATGCTTTGAGAAAACAAAACTCGTAAAATGGCCGGCAGTTTAGTCGCAAGACGCACGGAATTTTTGAAAAATGCCATAATTATTTCACTTATTCTGATAAACTTGGGGATTACACTATATGGCTATAATTACCAAGCTTGGATTATTGTACGGAGCACGACTACCAACCCGAGCAATGTGGAGAAGAATTTGACCGAGTACTACCTTTCAGAATACCCGCGTGACTTGGATCGTCTAAAGAGGTCCTGTGAAGATTTTCAAAGTGGAACACATCAGCCGCTTTTGTATTTTGATAAAAAGAGTAGGTTGTTACGCTTTCTTGATTTTCCGTAATCGCACAAAGTTTTACAAACATGTCTCGATGTTGGAAAATATTTTTTGTGACTCTAAGTGCGCTTTTAAGGGACTGTGAAGTCACAACGCCTCAACCTCATACAATGTGTCCTAAAAACGTCAGCATCGAAACGCCCTCATATTATTCTGGGAAATTTTGTCTGACTGGGGTGTACACGACCCACTTTTCTCCGCTTACAAATCAAATGTATATTTTCGTCAAGTAATGCTCCTGTGTGTGGCCGATAGCTGTCCAAGCCTTGAGGTTTTTACAAAGTTTGATTAACTGGGTTGATGTTAACAAGCCTGTGTCACATAGTTGGTTCATGGCACAGCTAAGGTACCGGTGAGGTCAAAATTAGATATTCTGCTTCGAACCTGCACCGTTTACCCACGTTTGCTTAAAACCAAATCCCTCCTGATGCAACCGCCCAGCGGTTGCATAAAAAGAAACCAAACAAGGAGTCACGTGCCAGCGCATGCCTCACAATTAACACTGACCTAGTTCTTTTTAAGCCCACTTTTTGAGTTGGCACTGGAATGACTCGTTGAACTGTCACATTGCCATCCTCGTTGTGTTTGGCATCCACGTTATTAGTACATTCATCTCCCTGCTGAATTACAATCACCAAAGAGCACGGACCGGCGGCTACTACTCCACCGCTGTAACCTACGTCGGTGCAAGTAAGTGTGTTGTTGAACGGTTTAAAAAATTGTGTCACATTTTGGACCTGTGTAATAATCTGGCGTTTTACGAAAGGAGGCTTTATAAGGAACTGTGATTAATGCTAGAGAATTTCTTGGCCTACTGAGCCTTGGTAACTGATTCATAAAGCATTATGCTGAAAGGAAAATTTGACATTTATCAACAAACTGATGACACATTCTTCAACTTTAGTCGTTAAAAGTACAGACTTCTCAGAAGGCCGAATAAAAAAAAACTAGGCCTGAAATCTCCATTTTTATATCTGCAAAAACAGAAAACCACGACAATAGAGTGCAATTAAGGAAATGCTATTTCTTCAATGCTTTTGCACGATCTGAATGTCAAGAGTAAATAACGTTTCTTCAGTACCTTCACAAGTTTCTAAATATGTTGGGAAAACTTTTTCTAAGATTTGATTCGAGTAAAATCTGAGCATACCTAGTAACACCTACTACTTGAGTGAATTCAAAAACATTTTACCATTTCATTATTCTCGAAAAACAAAGACACAATGCCTAATTACTGCGTCAAGTTAATTCATAATTATCAAAAGCTGACACCTAAATGTCATCGTGATAATTTACATTAAAAGGGATGTGCATGAAATGTAGACTTTTTACTAGGTACTAACCATCGAACACCAAGCACACCAAGGCCTTATAATTTGCGCCTACTAAAGAGTTTCATCCGGTTCCTATTAAAAAAATGTCATTATGATATTTCGCATTGATTTTGTTCGCTTTGGGACCTCCAAGACGCCTTTATTTATAATGCTACATTTCTTCAATCGTGTCTGAATTACTCAACATGTCTGCTGTCTTTCTGCAGCAAACTACTTTTACCTTATTTTCCACGAGGCACTATGCGTTTGTCTTTTAATATTTTAACAGCAAACCAAAGTTAACTGTTTGTTGCTTTGGTCCAATCGTCCATGGAATTATAACACTTTTTGGTACACTCCAGTGTTCTTCGACTTCATGCATATTGAGAGCAATTTGAGGATTATAATGCACATAAACACGGAACTGCGCGTCGCCAACTTCTACGCAAGACAGTCCAGGGAGTCAGCATTTGCAACGCCCAACTTCATGGCAGTTCAACCGCCAGGCTTGTATTCTGCCTCCATTATCATTCGTCTGGCCCTCAAATTCGTGCTCTTCTGCATCCTTCTAGAGTTTGCCGATAGCAAATAAGTAGTAAGATAATCTTTAAATAAAATTTAGGCTCACTGAATCGAAGCGAACTTCACCTTAAGTGTCTAGGATGAGAGTTTTAACCATCCACGACTATTTTTGAGTTATGTGTTTGAAAAATCGCCTAAGAACTTAGAAGACTTTGATTTGTAAGTAAAGCATTGCTTTGTTCACCTTCAGCGGTGTATTGCGAGCACGGGACTACACATCCACGCCTTGGTGGTGATGAGATTCGACACCAGGATGGACTGGAATACGCGACACCAAATATGAGGAAGAGACTTCATTAGCATGCTATGGGTGACAAAACTTGGGAGGGCATTTCCATCAAATAGTCGAACCTTAATCAGCTTTCTCTCTTATTGGTTACTGATCTTATTGAGAATCACCAAACACTCAGAGAGAAACGAATGGCTTAACTACTTTTAACTGTAGAAGTATCATCAAATTTGTTGGTTCTAAGGTCATTTGTACCACAACAAATCAAATTTTATCATGTCTCATTCTCAAAGTTTTAAGATATGCTGTGATCGAAAGTGGAATTTCAGGAGAGTGGCCTTTACAAAACCCTTTAAACGAACAATTCAGATGTTGGAAAACAAGTAATATAGCTGTTTGCAAATTAAATTAAAGATCACGATTTTTGCTGCTAAAATCGTATTTAAATAAAAGACCTTAAATGGATGCCAGTCCCTGAATTTACTTATAAATAATCAAATTTAAATATAATCTCAAAAAGATGTACCAAGAAGCTAAAAAAGCATCACACAACATAGTTATGCAAAATATGCAGTATTCAGGAGTGTTTAGGAAATTGCAGTTGTCTAAAATCCATCGATTGCCTAATTAAAGATTCAAGCACACATGTATACCTTAAAAGACTTTCCTCAAGTATTGGTGACGTCTTCTGTATTTTAAAGGATAAAGGGTATTATAATTTTCCAAAGTTTTCTTTATTAATTTATCGCATCCGTCTAAGGGCCTAGTGCAAAAACACGTCGCAAAAGTGAATTTACATATTTTATAGATTTGAAAATATTTGAAAAGTAGCTTCAGCGAAGGCATACTTTGGGATGTGCCGATAACAGAATTTTTAAATCACCGTCAGTATAATAATTTGGGTATTCTAAAATATTTTGACAGCAGCATAACGCTGGCAATTAGTCATCAACCAAAGAAAATTTAAGTTCTGAACCCATCAAGAGACATTTGTTAAGAATGCGACCTCCAAATTATAAAATTTATAGGAACACGGACTCTGCACCACTAATGCGTGCACAATTCAGTGTCAAACATGAAAACAAATTTTTAAGTAAATATGCTTTAAACAAGCTGCATTTTAACAAAATAGTAGGCGGTTCTTTAAACGAGAATGACCTAAACAAAGTTAAATTCACTCGGACAGGAAAAAATTCAATTTAAGTTCGTATTCAGGTAACCTGTAAACTAATAATTTTGAGGAGGCTTCGGTTTATTAAATTCTTTGGTGTATAAAAAAATACCGATTTCCTATGGTTTTTGATGTATTTATATCAAAAAGACTAAATTCTAGCACCTTTGTATGCAGAAAACCTGTTTATATGTCGCATTAAAATTACCATTATTATCAGTAGGTGATGTGTTTCTTCATGTGATTTTTCGAGATTATGGATACGTCAATTGAATCACTATCAAATAAATGTGGAAACATATGATGAAGCCCTTTTTAGCCACACTTGGTACCAACGAAGGTAGATCTACAATCAGGGCCAATTTAGTCGACCTTCAAGCAATGCAGACATAACTTTCACTTTTTAGTTACAGCCAGGTTTTGTCCGGTTTTAAGAAAGCAAGGTGGAATATTTGTCCGTAAAATGCCATTTTCTGAGGATTGAACCGTTCTACAGAACAGGACGATCACCAGTGTTTATGAGTGCATAATTTTACTACGAACTTCAAAGTTGGTATTTATTTATCAAAAGTGCAATCGCTATTTTTTTACCGAAGGGGAATTCTTCTAGTCTTTAGTTCAATGTAACTGCAGCATATTTACTACCACTGCGATAGGTTTCTGTAAATTTAGATAAAAGGCATAAATGAAATGCTACAGGTGGCCATGCAGGCTTGCATTAGCGGGCCTGATCCGACAAATAAAGTGGTATCCTACACCTTAATGGGAGACTCATCCAGCAAAGGTCCAGGTGATTTTGACGCATTTTAAAATTAATTCAAGACCTCCTTCCGCATCTGCTCTTTTAAAAAATCTCTGGGTTTTATTTTACAGTACACTAAATTTGGTCTTAAATTTATTTCAAAAACGCATGATTTTTGGATGTCTGTCAAATTTATGGCTTTTGATTTTGAAAATTCAAACCAAGCACTTTGTGACTTAGATCAAGGGCTTTTCACTAAAAGCATCATCCTTAATTGTCGTTTTTAAGGCTTATCTAGCTCTACGCGCTTTACGAATTCCACCACGTGTATCTCGACAGTTCGTAACTGCGAGCACCTGTTCCACTAAGTCAAGTCATACAAAGACATCAAAATCAATGAGTGAGAGCAGTGACAGAAGATTAATTCAGACAGATGTCTTTTTTTAAATTCTCAGAGGTGATCTAGGAACATATAATATCCAAAATATTTTTAGAAACGGAGATGTATGTACTTAGGCTAGGAAGTAGTCGCCGCTTAAAAACACAGTAGGTAAACCATTTATAAATTTCTAAATGTTATAATAATAAAAGTGTTGTGCTCTGTGTATTTACATGAGAAAGGCTGTTCAAGTCTGTCAAGATTTAAAAATTTAATGGCTTTCAGAAAAAAATTGAAAAAAAAAATAAATTTTTCGAATAAGTATTTGCTGTTTATTAGTTTACCCTAAGCCCATACCACCGTCACCGATTCCTGGGATAAAAGAGAGTCAATGTAAGCATATAATGTCAAAAGAAATAATGTAAACAAGATATCATGACCCATATTAGATAGAAAAATGAAAGCTGGAGCTCAAAATACTAGAACGTTTGACTTAGCTTTCCCTAAAAATTTGCTAAAATTTCAAAACATCCGTCATATTAAAATCTTGCCGGAAATCCTAAAGATATACCCTATTTAACTTTAATCTAATATCCACATTTGTGCAATTTTAAATCTGTTTTTACAACTAGGGCTCAAATATATTGATTATGCTACTGTATAAATTTCCTGCCCATGATTATATCCGTCCTATGTTAACGGTGGATAACAAATTATTTAATGCTTTACGAAATGACTCAGTTTTATAATTGTCAAGTAATAGTTTTGTGTGAGGTATAAGGAAGCAATACAAATTTTGTTTATTTCGGTATGTGTAAAATAACATTTTACATTAATTATGTACTTTCGTTTGCTTTATTATACGTTTTATTGAATAATTCACATTTATTTGGTGAATTTAAACCCAACTATGAATGTATGCTGCAGATTTTGATTGCAGAAAACACTTGGTACTCATTTAATCAAAAGGCTCCAAATGTTGTTCTAATGGTGTCGCCTCAAGGTCGACTTCATCAATTTGCGCTTTTTAAGGGCAAATTGGTTTTATTTTGCTCTTAATTGGTTGTACAAGTGTCAGCCTACTTATTCCTATTATGAAAGTTATTGCTTTGACATGATTAATCTAACAGAACAATAATGAAATTCCTGAATGCACTGTTATTTCTTTTAACATTTGTTGTTGGAGATGATTTGTACGACAGGCTTCATGTCTCTCGTTCTGCCACAAACAGAGAGATAAAGGCTGCGTACAGGCGCGAAGCCACCAAATGGTTGCATGTAACTTATTCTAATGTCTTTTATTTAGGCACCCTGATAAAAATCCATCAAAAGAAGCTGAAAAGAACTTCATTGAAGCCACTAAGGCATATGAGGTACTTGTCTGTTTAGCCTCATTTCGGGTAGATTCTCTCCAGTCCAGAAAAACGAGCAAAGTATGACGCTTATGGTATCGTTGACTTGGATGTCGATGATTTGCGTAGTGGTAGTGTCAATGACCCCTCATTTGGTTCTGACCTGTTTGCAAATATTTTTGGCGGATACCACCGTCCATTTGACCGATTTCGTGAAAGTGCAAACGTCCAGGTAAGTCCCGCAACGTTTTATCATTGGTCGATTTCTTCTTTATAGGTAGTCACATTTCATAATTATAAAGTGAATTACCACCCTGCTTCTCGCACCACTCCTCTTATGCTTCTTGGAATTTCTCACTTCTGTTTCATCTGCCGCCGTATTCAACCGCTTTGGTCTAAAATAGCCAGTCAGTATTCCAATTTGGGCGTTACATTTGGTGTTGCAAACATTCAGGATGACCAAGCACTTCGTGAAGAATTAAACGTGCTGCATTCACCCAGCGTTGTTGCTGTGATAGATGGCAAGGTAAGTACTCTGGCCTGTACTTCTATGAGCTTTTTCAAAAATGTTTACTTGAGGATCCGGAGTTTATTTTTCTTTTATACTAGTGTATTTTGTGCCACCCGCATAGGTGAACTACTTTATGGGAATGGACTACACAGAATCGTCTATAGTGGACTTTCTTGTCCAGTCGCTACTGGAATCCAGCCCTTCTCGTTCCGCTCCAATGCCGGGTCTACTTAGTACGACTCTTGGAGCCCCGCTTTTCACCATCATTTCAAATGAGAAAGTTCTTGACAACTTCCTAATGGATTGGCTCGAAGACAGCCGACCAAGGGCACTATTTTTTAAATCGACAGAACAGCCACCCCTTAGATTCTGTTTGGCTGCTTTTCGAGCTGCCGATTTTCACGCATCTGGTTACGTTAACTCTCATCTTCCGTCTGCCAAATCACTACTGAAACGGTTTAATCTCAGTCAAAACGAAGTAAGTTCAGTAACCCTGAATTCTTGGTTATCATTAGTCTAGCTTGTTAATCATTGTTTTCATAGCGATCACCAAACCTATTTGCTCACTGTTTTTGCAATTTCAAGCGCGTTTATCGGTTGGATTTGCTTTTACCTAAGTTACTTGTTTTAGCTTTATGCGCGGTAAGAAATTTTAACTGCTCGAAATCTCTAATTTGACTCCATCACCCGCATCTCTTCCCAGAACTACTTGCACCATGCATGGCATGCTTCTGCGAATTAGAGTCAATTGAATAAGTGCAAATTCAGTCATTATTTATTCCCAGCCTAAACTTTTTAAGCTAATAAAGGTCAGTCCGTCTCCCGTACAGGCCTGTGCACGACTTAGGTAGTGCTACTAATACTTAGTTTGGCTCAGTCGAGTTCGTTGTAGGAACTAACCGATTCGTTTCATTTTAGTGGACAGCCAGCTTAGTAAACGTTTTTGTGTTATTGATTCTGAATCACCCTGGAAAATGATAATTTCTCGATTGGTGCATAGTTAGGCTTTTAAAGTTTTTCCCTACCGGTCATGGAGGTTCCTTAATTCGCGAGAAACGATTTCAATTCTTGAGTGTCTAGATATCCGAAACAAAAATAGGTGACATTTGTGCGTAGCCTGGTAATGCTCTTCTTATCTCCTCAGGAAAATATATTAATCTTCCACGAGTCCCCACAGGAACCGGTTATTTCTCAGGCAGCTGTTCACTTGTCCAGGAAAGTTCTTGACGATGTTCTAATGCAAAACAGTCGCCTCTCTGTCCCCCGGATTCTAAGCTCAGTTCGTTTCCTCGATCTCTGTCCAGCCGACGGACACCCTCCGTCGTCCGCATTCGCTTCGGCCGCGGAGACTGACGGCGGGAGCCACACGAGTCACCGCCACCTGTGTTTTGTTCTCCTTCTCAACCATCGCATTGGCCTCAAAGTGGGTTCAAAGCAGCGTGCCTGGCTCGACTTGTTCCGCTCGGCCCTCGTTCCTGCGATTCCGCACGCGCTGACCTCTGCCCTCGGCCTCACCGGTCGTCTTCCTGACGACTTCCGACCCATTCTCTCGCCCGCCTACATGTTTTCCGACCGGCAAGCGGCTTGGCTCAAAAATGTTACTGCCTCATCTACTTGCCCTGCGTGCTTGGATCAAATCCAAGGTTGGTCCTTCGGTTGTTTTGTGTTACAATTGTCTGCTTGTGTTGGCGTCAGTGGGAGACTAGCCGACAAAACTACGTCTCTGCGTATTTGTTTTGCTGGTGACACGAAGTCTTAGGTATATTCATGCAGACCCAACACATAATAACTGGGCTTCCATCTGTGAGCATCATTTTAATCGATTAAACAATTCAGTAACTATTTCATGAAACGGGTGTCCTATACCAGAAGTCAGCAACTGTAGTTTATTCTCCGTTTCCAATCTGGGTACTTTGATTCCAGACTAAAATCACCTTGGATAGGTCAAGAATTAGTCGCAGACAAATGTAACTGCATTTGTTTAAAGGGCGCGTTTTTCCTCTAAGTTCAGCCGAAACAAGTGGTGCAATTATCTTATTTCAGCTACCGCTGGTTACATCCTGGCCCTCTGGCGCCTGTCCTCCAGAACACTGGCCTTTCGCCTGCTCCCTCGACAGATGGGTCTGCATCCTGCCGAAGTGCTGCCCGCAAATCTTACGGTGGACGCGCCGTCAATCGAGGTCTACACAGGACGACTAAAAACCTCGCTCACCAACCTGGTAATGGATATGGTCAAGGTGGACGCCTTCCTCAGAGGTAGGGATGCAAAGGAGGTGAAGGAGGACGTGAGTGGTTGGTCGATCGCCTACCTTCCGCGAATGGAAGTCCTACTCAGAGATGAGTTGGCGGCCTCGCTCGGTGTCCGCATCAAGCGCAAACTCTGGAGCATGGGTCTCGCCGCACTCTCTTACTTCGACAGGTGAGCGTGTGTGGGTGATTCCGACGTCCGCAACCTCTGCTTCTAGCGGCAACGTCGTGTCAAGTTGCAGTAGATACTTATCTGGTTTAATGATAAGATGTTCAGATCTCCAAGTAAGGCTTTAGGGTGGCCAAAGGCGTGTAATGACAACTGCTTCGGTCATAGGAATCTGGTATTTAAGAAACAAATAACTGGATTTCGTGGTGCATCCTACAAGTGTTTGGAGAACGGCATCTTTGTGATGTTGTGTTACATGGGTTTAAAAATGCTTGCGGATTAGCGTTGCAGCACGAAATAGTCAAGACTTGGATCGTGCCTCCTCTCCTAGGGCAGTTAAAAGTGGATAAGTCGACTTCAATCCAAATGGTGAACTTCGCTTTGGGCTGTCTTTCCGCATCGATACCGAATTTATCGATGATGTAGTGAACAGCAATCCGCAGATGGCTACTGGTGAAATCGCTAAAAGACGAAATGTTGGCACCTTGTTTGCGTTTTGCCATTTAAAGCGGCACGTATGCATTTCAGGTCTCAAAGCATGCTTTTTGCACGTTTTGAGAGAACAGCACGAGGTCGTTTGTGTCCCATTGCCACTTTTCTCGCCCGTCAGCAAAACGAATCTTCCTTGGTTTATGCAAAACATCAAAATAAAAAAACAGCGACGCTCAGAGCATGGAAGTGAGCGAACAGACTCGATGGCAGGGGCTAAGCTGCTGCATTCGATCAAGGCTTCTCTCTACGTTTGGTGGGGATCACGGGGGAATAATTTTATGCGCGCTTCTTTCACGCAGCCAGAAAATAAGTGCAGAGAGGTACTGTGAGCAACTCAGCATTGAAATCCAAGCAAAACGTCTAAATTTAGTCGATTGAAAGGGTTCTATCTTCTACTGTTGCGTTGTGTCCGTAAACAAACCACACACGTAGATAATCGGTACCCTAGATCCCTTGTCTGACGCTGGCCCCCACCTTCCCACGCTGATGTAAGACAGACAAGACTTCGTGCAGTTTTCAATGTCTCACTGCAGGTAAGAGAAATGGTACACCCAAAGGTGCATGGATCAATAGCAAGAAGGAGGGGCATATGAATACGAAAGTTGGTGTGCAGAAACCTAGGTCGATAGTGAAAAATAAATTGTAGAAATCTTGGCGACCGTAGTCCTGGGGACGCTGTGTCACATGTCGCTCCGTAGACAACAAAACCTCAAGCAGTTAAATGTGGGAAATTTCTACGGAACCGTCGTCTTCCTTCAGATTTACACCTGTTTCGGACTATAGTAGGAAATGGTGGAGCGACCACTGTTCGTTAACAAATGAAATCTTTTATGGAATTGTGTTGTGTTGAATTTGGTTGTTGAAGTTTGTTGACCCTTCAGTTCCCGCATTTCCGCAACAGGTTTTGGTCGGATCCAATCGACTTCCTTCTGACAAGCGGTTTCACCTTTGTGGTCTTGGGGGTGATCGCGGTTTACCGAGTCGGGCGCGACGTCTGGTCGGAGTGCGTGCCATCGACTCAGGCGCCGAATCCACGGAAGTCGTCTGCACCTCAAGCGCCCCTCCTGTCTCCCACCCGGCCGTAAGTGCCCGTCTCCGCCCCCACGTCCCCCCCTCCCCCACACAACTTGGCACAGCTTCACGCTCTTTATTTTCCGTCAGCAAAATATTCTGACGGAGATCGATAAAACAAATTCACGGAACATAGCTTCTACCGTAATTTTTATTGTGGAAAACAGGAAAGTAAAGTACTTTTAAAACTCAAAATTCCTCTACTGCTTTAAGTTCCGAATAATACTGGCACCCAAATTTGTAATTTTTTGTAATGACCTTTTACGACACTGCTTCTTTCGTTAGTCGTTCGTTGGTGCGGAGCATGCTTGTGTAAAGATGGGAAATTATCACGTTATTATAGCAGTGTGTTTCTGTAATTTCATGAATTCTGCCGAGGCACGAAACAATTTAGTTTGAAACTTGTGAGTTTAAGACTCCAGGACTCTAGTTTCACTGTCAATGATCCAGGATTACAAAACGATATCGTCTTAATACTGTCTTTTTCAAAAAAATATACTGTAATATCGGCCACTCTTGTAACAGTCCAGTGCCCACCGGATTGGTTGCTTACTGCATACATTGGAAGCATTCCTTAGGTATTGCATTATTTAGCGTCCTTTTGTCTTCTTACCCTTAGGCACGCCCTATCCTAGGTTTGTGCTCATCTCATTGAAACGCAAACCGTTTATTTGGTCTCTGAAAAGGCCAATTCTTCGTCTTTTCTCGTTTAGGTTAACCAGTGGGGCAGACTGTGGGAGTGTCCTTTTGACTCCCTCGACGTACGAGCGCCTGGTACCAGGAGCGCCACCGGGCCAAGTCAGCGTGATTCTGTGCACTGACGCGTCTCCGCTCGGACAGCGCCTAGCCAATCAGTTCTTCCAGATATCTCGGCGCATGGGGTGTGTCCTTGTTCCTCAAATCTTGATGTGCCTTGTGCTACCTTTGGTTGGACGACCTGAATGCAGATGATGTGCTCCAGGGCACAATTCCTGCTAGTACTCGTCTCTTAGCACTTATTCTGTGTGAGAATTAGAGACGCTAATCCTAAAATAACCTTATTTGCAAGTGATCCAATCTTGTCTCCATTCTTTCCCACCTGGTCGATAAGATCCACCAACTAAACATGACACCCAGACTACCAACCTCGTTAAAGTGCTTAAGGGAGGTTGAGGTCAAAGAAGAAAAGGCGAAGCACAGAGCAGCATACAAATTAAAGACGCGCCCCTTTTGTAAATAATTGGTGCGTTGAAGAGTGTTGCCGCGTCCGCAGGGTACATTTAAGTGCTCGGTGTTTGTACTAGGAGCGGTGCCAACGTGCGAATTGTTCCGGCGTCCCTGTTTGTCGACCACTACCCTGAGTGGTTGGGGTGGGCACTGGAGGCTGCGACTCGAATCCCCTTCACCCCCAGCTTCAGTCCTCGTGGCGTAGACGCCGCCGGTGGCGGAACCCCACCGGCCACCTTGACCTTCAACCCAGCCAATTGCCGTGGGACGGTGTTCGCGGTTAATGGTTTCCGCCGGTACTTCCACATGTACCACCCACTGCTCCCGGGCTCACAATCACGACCCTTTGTAGAGGTGAGTTTACGATTTACTTCATTCGAAACTACTGATAAGCTCATCAAGGTCTTCAACTGCACCCGTAGTTTGCTGGCGTTTTGTGTGAGTCACTGTGCTAGTCCCACATCCAGACCTGAATGCCTTCGGCTTGTGAAATGACCTGCAATTCAGGAATCCTCATTTTCTCTTACAGAGTTGCCTTTTGGATTTATGGTACTGGTGTGATCCAAGACGGGGTCAAATGTGGCCTGAAAGTCATACATTTTTTTAACTTGGAACTAGAGGTTATTACTCAAAAACCTTGGTAGGAAAAATTTGGTTAGTGTACGCGAATTAAGATACAATGAGACTATTGTGGATATTTCGATTCTACTGTTACCTGCTGCTACCACATGCAGGTTATTGAAAATTGTAGGCAGCATCGGGCTTCAGTTGGCTGATAAGAGGCATATTTATTTTAGGAATCGGACGAGGTAGACGCGGACGTGTGTTGTGCCCCGAGAGGTCCCTCCAAGGAGGCTCGGCGTTTCGCGAACTTCAACAAGTTGCTCGGCCTGAGCCATTCAGACAACGAAAGCGACTACGAAACCGAGAGTGAGACGGAAGAGGAGTGTCTGGCTCCAGTGACTCCCCTTTTGGAGCAGGAACTCCTGGCTGGCCTCGTGGCGTGGTTCGATCGTTTATTTGAGGGCTCCCTGCGTCGACATCATGTCTCCGAGTGGCCGCGAAGTCTCACGCTTTCCACCAAATAGCCATCTGCATTGTGGGCTCTTGGACCCACTTGTGTTGTCCATTCTGTCTACATTCGCAAGACACCGTCGACCTTACGAACATTGACGTTTTTAGCTGCTGTGATTTTGTAAAACACAGGTTTCTGACGGAGGCTTTTAGCTCTGAACACAGTAACGAATTCCCTCACATGATAGAAAACGATATACAAACCGACTTGATCGGCACAATTGCGGATCTGGACAACTCTTTAGATGTGGACCTGTCGTTTTTAGAGAAAGCTGTACGCTTGATGGGCTAGATTCTGATAGCGCGTCATTCAACACCCACGATGTAGCTGCCTTTAATCATCATTCAATCCGAATGCACTTCTTGTGCCATAGGGCATCAACGGAAGTGATTAACTGCCATTCGTTGGCGGTGCTTTGGCTCTGCTGTTTATCGTGGCAAAATGGCAAATGGGAAATTTATTTAGTTAATTTGAAGTGGATCGCAATTCCGTCATTAAGAAAGATGGTAATGATCAAGATCATGCACCGAGGGGGTACACTTCATTTTTTTAAGTCTGAAGGACTAAATCCACTGAAGTGACCTAAGAAGGTGTAGTTGGGTATCAGTTTATGTTCAAATAGGCTGTTGCGACGGCGTAGTCACTTCTGTTCGTTTTGGGAGGGCTAGAACGTAAACTAGTGCAGCTTTTAGAGCCCCTCATAAGTTGTCTGATTACGCACTACTTGGGGTTCATATATTTGAGGTGTTATTTGGTATGGTGGCTTTTGGTCGGATAAATGACTACACGGCGATATTATATCATAAAATATGTCGTGGTGTCAATCATCTTCGGCCAGTAAATTTTTCTGTTGGCAAGTACTATGTCCTGAAAAGCTGAAGACTTCCATTTTGGAGAAGCCATTAAAACGAAGTCGCCAACTGCGCGCACTCGAAATTCCACTCGGTCTACCGGTTAATAGATAAGTTCGGTTTCGTGAAGTGGTATTGTTCACATGCTTATTAGCATATCGGTCTTGTTGCAACTGGATGGCCCTTTTTTGTGTATCCGTCAAGAAGCTCACAAAATATAAAGTGTCTAATGTCTTGAAATGGTCTTTAAAACAAACAGGTTGATTCGAAAATTGGTACATGGGGAGAGTGTCATGCCATATGTAGAGATCACAACGTACTCTTAAACGTTACCATTTTAGGTTTACCAGGCAATCCATATTTCTAATCTTAGGAATAGATTGTCACTATTTCACTTATCAATGTAACAAAGAACCAAGCGTAAACTCTGTTAGCATACTTTCCCAATGCAGTACAATAAGTTCTAGAGGTACATGGGGATTCGAGCCATTATTCATGTAAGCTTTGTGGTTCAAATTTTTCTCTTCTCAATTATCGCTCCTCATCTAGCCTACATTTAGCTGGAATCAAAACCTGGTAATTCTCTACATTACTTTTTTGGAGATATTACACACCTTACTGTGCTGGGAGCAGAGTGTACCTATCGTCTAAACTGTGATATGGGGCGTTTGATTAGTCGTTGTGAGTTGATGAAGTTACTTCCAGAATCTTGATATTTCCCTCTTGCGTACTCTTCAACCAATTCGACAAAAGTGCGCGCGTGGTCATGCTTCCGGCAAGACCAATTGTGATTGGAGTAGTTCTGCTAGAATAGACGAAAAATACTGAGTACCTTGTATGGAGTGACCGCGAGTTCAAATCCTTATTCTGTACCACTGGTATGGGAGTGGTATCTCGCGATAACAGCCACGGTTACCATTATTGCCCGATTATTGTTTTATTAGTAGACTTTTAAAGGGTGAATATTTGTTAGGCGGTTGCGTTTTACTACGGTAAGTGTGTTCAATCTGTAATAGTTACTGAAACAAAGTTATTAACGGCGACTTAAAACAGTTGTTAACAACAGTAACATATGACCTTCAAAACCCATCAAAGTAACACGCACTAAAACTCAATCTGAAAATTGCAATAAATTACCCTTAGTGAAGAGGCACATAATCATGAGATTTCAGTTTCGCCTATTTGTAGACACTTCACCTTTTTCAGAGGCACCGAGCTGAGTAAGAGGCCATAGATGTTAAAATAGATGTTGATGTAAACTGTAGCGGATTATGAGCAATCGCGCGGATCATCATTAACCTGAGGATACTAATGACTCATCTCTATTTCATTGGTTACTGCTACCAGTGGTTTGTTACCAGCCCACATACCCAGACCCGAAGACACACTTGGCTGGCGTGAAGCCATCCGCTGCCGCCCGTCTTGTCTCCCTCCGGGCGTTGTAGAACTGCTACCTAGAGGGTTGTAAGGTAGTGCTAAGGAAAGCCATTGAAGTAATGTAGTGGTAATGGCTGCTGTGCATGTAACAGACACCATATTTTTAAAAAGTGGTCATAATTTTGTTGCATTCGCACCCGATGCAGACAAAAAACATGCTTGCCAGATAATGACAATTTAGACAGTAAAATTGCGCAATATGTATCTTGGTTTTAGCACCATGGTGCATTTATCAGTTCGTTTTGAGCTAACTACCAAGCTAAATCCCAAATTATTCGGCATCTTCAAGATACACTGGTCAGATTCAAACGGTGGCTGCATTGTAACTAACTGAAAAAAAGTACCCATAGAGTGTTCCCATTTCTATGACATTATTGGAACTAAACGGTTTCTTGATTATAATCTTGCGTCATGAAACTAGGCTTTCCAAAAATGGCAAGATTCTACCCTTATTAAGAAACTCATGCAATTGGGACAGTTCTAGCCTTTGCAAAAGGAAAAACAATATAATTTCCTTACTGAGTTTGGGATGTAATTAACTTTATTTCAACAACCCTTAAAAGGGTAAAGTCAAATAAAGACGCAGCATATAAATTGGAATTTTCTAAATATATGGAGACAAATTTTGATTAAAACGGCTGAAATGTAGTTTATTTTAGTGGCGTTTTTAGTCATCCGCAACGCTGCAACACCTGTTTACAACGCAGTAATTACCATAGACCGCCTTAATAGGCATATATTTCTGTAGTTTTGCCGAGTATAATTATGTTAAACAAGCAAGAATTATGTTGAATAAAAAGTTCTTTTAATCCTGTCGTTTTCTCAAATTGATGGTCAATTGTCCAAGAGGCGGTTACTTGAAATTCGCGGTCACATTACAAATGGATCAATAAGTCAAAAGGGGAGTGGATGCCAAACAAGCATAGATGCAAATCTAAAACTGCATCAACACCTACAGCAAAGACCAACAAAAGGGTCACTTCAAAGGAATCAACTTGGTTGGAGAAAACTGCGCGAATCGCAAATGCAGCCCTTCAGCAGAGCGTGGAAAGCGATGTGGAGGACTTAAGCCTTTCTCAACGCCTGGAGTCTGTATCAAAGTCCAACTTTCCTTCCTTTTCAAAAGGCACACGTCACAATGTGGGAAAAAGACGGCTAAATGGAAGGTCGAGTAGAGTTGTGGAAGCTTGGACAACGATTGCAACAATTAATAACGAGGAGCCCAGACAGAGGGTTAAGATTTCGACTAAAAGTGATTGTAGAGAAACACCCATGAGACAGATAAATGCGCCCCTTCATTCTACTGCACTCAGTTTAGATGACAGGCTGCAGGGTGGAGTTGCACTGTACCAATCAAATAATGCGAATCTTTTAAAGCAAGAGACACAAGATGATAACCCAGGGGTTTCAAAATCCGATTTGGAGTCTAAAGAAGTCACCAATGAAGGAACCAATAAGGAATTAGAAGCAGCCTTGCAAGAAGAGATCGCGAGGAAACACATCGATATGATACTAAATAGGCTCGAAAAACCATCCCGCTGCTCACGGCTGGTGTCAGCTTTCCAAAAGTTCCTTGACCGAACATGCTGTAAGTACACGCCGAGGATGTACTTTACGAAGCCGGCTTCATGGTATTCTGCAACCGCGAAGTTAGACGCAGGAACCCTGTTACGAGAAAACTACCTGGGCATAACGGCTGGTATTCTGGTGGGGTACGTCACCTTCTTTTTCTTTTCTGCCGCCTTCGCACACGCACCCCACATAGCCACACTTTTCGCCTGCTATGTCATGATGTTTTCTGTGTTTGGAATTGCATTTTCGTCGGACTTTCGCTGTGTGCTCCTAATTACCCTGCCATACTTGTTGGCCAGTCGAACGCGATGGCTCCTGATGATGCTTGCCACCGGCCTCACAACTACTGGCCCGGCCCTCAACTTCATGCACAACTCTGGCAACTTCCGCAATGCCATCGCCTGCGTCCTGGGTCAGGTGAGCTCCAACGTAGAGTTGATGGGTAAAATCACCAAGGCTCCGTTAAGTCTTATAAAAAACCAAATGGGCACCATGATCGGCAACCTGAACGACCAACTGTTTCGGGCACGCAACGCTTTGAGAAAAATCAAGCAGGCAGTTTACATGGCTACCAAGGTCTTGAACTCGAAGTCGGATTGGGTGCGCACGATGGTCGAATCGTGTGGTGACGAAGTCGCCATGAAAAACCAATGCTTGGCCTTCTTCAATACCCTCTACTTCAACTGCGCTGCCTCGATGAAGTCTCTGTCATTTATTTGCAATTTACTGCGCATGTTTGCTGAACAGGCCTGCAAGGGAGTCGCGGGTCTGAATGACATTTGCAAGAGGGAGTCGGGCCGCCTGCACTCGGAAATAACCAACATGGCGCCGGTCAGCGAGGAGCAGTTAGAGGAGAGTGAGGAATCAATACTACGCTTCATGGGTCGTGAAAATATCTCCTTAGAGACTGGTGGAGAGTTCGTGGATGTGGACTTTGGCACTAACGTCTCATCCCAGGCCGAAGTTACGGCAATGATTGAAGAGAAGATGGATCTCATGATGAACGGATTGAATTCCTTTAAACGAACCATAGCTTGGATAGTGACTATTTGGACGCTGTTCACTGTAATTCAGTTGATCGTGCAATCAGCTCTGTACAGAAAGAAGTGGTTGACCAAGCCACACTATGACAACGGTTACATCTCACCACAGTTTGTAGAGCAGGTACGCATTATCGCTGCAGCCCACCTATCTACAAACAAACCATCTTTTTGAAATCGCTTAGTTTCGGTAATTGTTCTTAGACATTTTCCAAAATTTCGTGTGCATTTAAGACAGAAAAAACATGTTACTATTCACAAGCGCTTTGGGAGATTATTCAGCATCAAGGTAAATCTACTGTGGTTGCTGCATGTGTTTAAAGGAGGCATTACTAACGTGATGAAATATGTGCATTTGTGTTTATACACATTATTTCATAACAGATTTGTTAGTGTTATTGTCAAAAGATGATCAAATAAGATACTGTCTGGGAAAATTTATTACTAGATTTGTACCAGAGTAAGGAATTTAATCGCATTCCATTATCGATCCTTCTATTCAATTATGAATTTGTTCATCAAGGAGAGAAAGGCCTTCGAAAACAAGCGACCTACCACCCTGCCACTGTCATTTGTTGAGCAGTGGAAGTATGTGACCTTCTCTTCTCTTTGGTGGTCAAAAACAGAGCGAAGCTCGGCTTTTGGGTCACTCGCCTTTCTGTTCGTGGGTGTCTTTGTGCTGATTTTAATCATCATCGCCGACTACGCCATGTACCACATTGTACTAACAACAGCACCGGCATTTTCAGAAGGCTTTGGTAAGGCAAAACAGGTGCGTTCAAATTTTGTGCGCGGGATTAATGTCGCTATGACATCAACTTGCTCGACGTCCACCCCATAGTCCAAAATAACTCACATCCGCAATAAGATACGTGTCTGTTCCAAACAAATCCAAGGGATGATGTTCACTAAAGTAAGTGCTATTGTCAAAAGGTCAACGCTACTACTTATACTATCATATAAACTGTTGATTTACAAATAGGTTAATGAATATTTACCGTAGTTGCGGCTATAGCCACATGTTGCGGACCTACATCGATCTCAATTCGAGCCAGCAACCGTCTGTTGTATACCCTAACATTTTTTAGTAGGGAACAAAAAAAAATTTTAAATTAACAATTATTTTGTGAGATTTATTTTTCAAAATATAGGCTCTTAAAATCTATGTTGACTTGGCTAGTATTTATGCACACAACTTCATAGGAAATCAGCTGCTGAAATACGGAAATTTAAGGAACTCTTTCAACTACATATTGGAGTCAATCTGCCTGAATGGGTTAAAATATTCTGATTTCGAGGTCTTAGTGAAGTCGAGTGAAGAACGGCATGCATTCACGTGGCAGGCA